AGTCTTATACTCCGGAGTCAGCGGCCTGTGCGCGGATGCATTCCTCGATCAGTCCACCCGCCAAAGACCGTCCGCCACACTCACAGAGCCAATAACGACATGGACCTCGACACGATGATACCGGCCCGAAACTACATGTAGGAGGTTTTTGCTCCCACAGCGTACCTCCTTCCATCCGCTGTTAGTTCAAAAGCTAGGTAGAAGAGACGGCAGAACTATGTATTGATGCATCACGTACATGTCCACCAGCGTAGCCTTCGGCCTCTTGTTCTCGACGGTCCACGCGCGAATATCCTCTCCTAGGGCTCGCTGCAAATAGGCACAAAAAGGACGGGCAGACCGACACGTCGTCGCAAACAAAACACTATAACTGATAGAAAGGTTGGCGTGATGCGCGATTCTCTCTATGGGGCGGAATCAACAACAAACGAAATAAGACGACTGCATGGGGAGGGCACTACGATACCCCTCGCAACTCCGTCGTGGATCGAAGGCGGATCTGTTTGTTCGCGCATCGGGTCGGTACGAGGGGCGAGGGGAATGTTCTAATGGGGGTCACGACAACTAAAAGAAATAGAAAAGAGAAGGTACGCATGATATTGAAGACGACAGGAGAGATCAACATACTCGAGGGGTTCATCAATTCTTCAACTGCCTCCGAACGCCAGCGCTTCCGACCGTCCATAGCCGCACCGTAAGGCACACGTCTCCGTCCAGGACCGCACTCGCGCCCTCCCCCGGTGAACAGCACGTCGTTAAAGCCCCCGCGGCACACGACCTGGGCGTCAAAAGAGGACAAATTCGTATTGGAAAAAATTTGGGATACACAACAGCCGTATCTGGGTCAGCAATCAAGAATCGACATGCATGCCGAGATTCACATGCCAACACGACAGGAGCCATTTCCTATTGCCGGGACCTATTTGTAGAATGAACAAAGATAGTTGTAGGGCGAGGGTACAACACACAACGGGCGTACGACTACGTTGTTGCATGTAGGCAGAACAGACACGCAGCAAAAACTCGCCGTCTCCGTGAGGATTCCGGCCAGCAGCATCTCCTGCAATACGGAGGAAACCTTCGTCGAGGGGATGTCCCGCAGAGACCCGGCCTCGGGGAGCGTTTTCGCCCAGTCCCTGTGATGTTCCAAGTCGGGTGTATTTGGGCAACAGCAAACACACGTGAGAGACTCACGAGGTATACAATATCTTTGGCTGTTGAGGGTACCGAATCGAGCAGCGGGCACACCGGAATGGCAATACAGAACGGGCCCGGAGATAAGAAACGTCAAATTCCGGTCGAGCCTCAATTTCGGTTTTTCGGCAGAAACACCAGCCGAAGCCGGCCAATATCTTATAAAAACGGGTTTCTTATTCCTTGGGGCTGTCGCATGTTGCTGCATGTATTATTTTCTCGATTCTGGCGAGGAGGACATCAACCCACCAAGCCTTCATGAGCATTAAACCGACAGCTCGGCGTGACCGTTGGGGTTGTGGCAGTGGGGAGCGCAGCCCGCGGGGGCGCCGGGGCGCGGGGGCGCGGCGGGTGCCGCGAAAACAACCACTGTCGTCCCCCCCTACCAAAGAATTACATAGCATGAGCTAGCTAGTGGGTGGGAGCATGGCAGCAGCAGCAGCAGCAGCAGCAGCAGCAGCAGCAGTGGGACCTTTCTTTTTGGCCATGCTCCCCCGGCTACCCCCTTGTTTCTCTTGTCTTGGGGGTATCGCAAGATCATGTTTCTTATTGAGGCGTTTTTTATGTCGTGACCAAGATTGGGCTGTGTTTCTTAGCCCTTTGTTCTTAATTTTCGAAAACATTTGAGTTTTTTTTCGTCAATGAATTTTTCTTGATTGCGGGTCCATTATATATAATATATTTATAAATGTAGCAGGGCGTCGCGAAGCGAGCGACAAAAAGGCCACGGGGCCTTTGTGAGTTGCGTAACCAGCTGTGCGCGTCTGGCACGGCCAGGCTCTGGGTGTCCGAGTCGAGACCACTCGAAACAACCGCGGAACTCACAGCCGCGTGTAAACTCCGCGCGCCACGTCTTCCAGCTGCCGCGTCGTGTGGCGATAGCCCCGCCTCCCCGCCTCCCTGCTCGGCCCCACCAAGATCTTTGCCTGGGTTCATGCGCGTTGTCATGGTGCAAGTTGCATTAAATCGGCAAGAAAATCAGCGACAACGTCAATTTGTGTTTGCCTCTGCCATGCGAAGTATTTCACACATCTATCTCCCGCGTGCATGATGAGAGGGATACATGAAAAGTTTCCTGACATGCTGCCTTGTTGGCGCGAATAGCACTCACAGATATGTCCCTCCACAAGGATGGTGATGTCTGATACGAGGTTTGGTTGACCCATGGCTACACGCACCCGTTCAGGCACCCACCTCCGTGATGATCTCCTGCTCGTTAACCGCGCAGCAAGAAGGCATTGCGACGCAATGGTCGCACGTGCTGCCACACTCGAGGTGCCCGTCGCCGAGCGCTCCCAGGGGGATATTTCGTCGGCATTCGATCTGTGTTCGTTCATGCGACAGACCACGACAGTCAACTGCAGGATGGGATCACTCAAACTCAGCCAAATTCTCAGCAGCTTGCACGCGCATCGCGCGGGTCTCGTTGCATCGGGAAGTCGTTGTGTCTCAAGAGGCGGTACGACATAGAAAATAATTCACAACATTGCCGAGGGAGCGAGAGAGAGAGAGAGAGAGAGAGAGAGAGAGAGAGAGAGAGAGAGAGAGAGA